ACATTTCTTGTAATTTCTTATAGACCTTGTAAAGTAACATGTGTATTGTATATACATTGTAAAGTAATTGTAAGGTTTGTAAATGAATTGTAACATTTAAATAAAACATATTAATGTATATAAAGACTACATAAGTACTAAGGATGAATAAAATCTATTACATGTATTATGCTAACTTTGTATGATAACCTAAAGTATTATGCTTGTATTACATTTAAATTATAATCTTAAAAAAAGAGTTATATTTATAATATAATAATGTAATAATAACTATTGTTATCTTATTATTTATGCAAAAGGTATATTAATGTATATAATAGTGTAAGAGCACTTGTTGTATCCCTATTATCTTAATAAAAGTATACTATAAGTATATAATATGTACATTATACTTAGATTATCTTGGGCAACTGATACCTAACTTGCTTATGTAATCAACGGCTGAAGATCGAGAGCATATAATGACACACTTATGTGTGCCACTCTTTCTCTTCAACCTCCACCACCTCTCTAAGGCTAACTCTCTGCTGTGCCACCATGTTGTCGCTTTTGTTCTCTCTAAGTCTCTAGTCTTTCTCTTCTTGCATGCGTCCTACTAGCTGCCACCCTGCCTTCAACAATGTCGACAATAAACATTGCTGCACTCGTCTCTCCAATCAACTGTTGTGATGCCTGCACTGAGTCCCAGATTCTGCACAGCTGATTACACTGTACCCTCCCAGTCTCAACGATGTTAAATGCAAGCAACCGGTTCACTTCATAATAACCTGTACAATAGTTGCTCATCCCTCTCCTCCCAACTTTTTGTCTCCCTTCCATCCCTTCTGCTCCTCGTTCTGCTGATTGCGTTGCCTCTCCTTTGTTGTCCTCCTTTCTACACCACCTTCCCATTCTCGCATCCGCATTGTCGACCAATGCCGAGTGAATTCTTCAAAAATCCTATGCACTCGTGTACTTCTTCCTGCTCTACAGTGCAAGCAACAATTGACGAGCACACACTCACAACAATGTCCATGTACATCTACTCCCATTGTGCTACCACTTCTCTTACTTGGTATGTGCTCTCCTTCCCCACCCGTGCAATGCTTGACATCATTCTTGGTAGGCCCACACTGTATGCATTTACATTCCTCTGTGCTGGGCATGACACTACATTGAACAGGAGTGGTGGCCCATTGCTCACACCTATCCAAGATGAGTTGAATCCGTCCACATCTTCCACTTCACCCTCGCCCTTCAATCCAGAATGTCCCAGAGATACACCTTTGTAGTCATCCGCAATGGCTCAGTTTACTGCACCTCCGATTGCGAGACGTAGCCAGAGCATGCAACATGCACTTACAGACACGGCTTTGCTTGCTGCTCAAATCAGTTCGTTCAACGCTCCGGATCTCAACCCTGGTGCACCACTCACACTTGCTACACGCTGTCGTGGTGCATTCATCTCTTTACTTCAAGCACCTGCACTCGCTAACAACCCATTGCCTCCTTAGCAAGTCAACCTCCAAACCTGCCTCACAAGTGCAACCTCGACCTCTGCAATCTGTACAATCTCACAATCCACACACAACTCAACTTGCAGGGACCGAGTGGCAACCAAGGCATGGTGACAAAGACTAACTCAAACGGCTGAGGAACACATTTGTTCTCTATTGTCAATACACTTGCCATCTGTCGTCAGGTTATTTCTGTAATTGTTGTAGATAATAATGTATTTATACAATATTTCAATATAATTATAAACTGTTATTTCAATAACAAATGGATATAAGGACAAACTTATCTTATACATCTTATATTTATATGTTTTCCTTGTTAAAATAACAAGTATTATAATACTTAGCCATTTTGTGAGGTGCACTTTAAGCACTTGTATATCTTAGTAAGTACTACAATTCTTATTATTCTTGACCAGATATTCAAGACTTTTTAATAGCTTTCTTAGCTTCTTATTACCTTCCTAAAACCCCTAGGTACACAATAAGCTCTTATACATAATGTAGAAAATATATATAATTTATATACATATAAGCTAATAC